TATCATCTATATCTACTCTATCTATCTATCTATCTATCTATCTATCTATCTATCCATCCTGTTTCTATCATCATCACCTATCTATATCTATCATCTATTTATATTTATCATTTATCAGCTATGTATATCTATCAGCTATCTCCTATCTATCTATCTATCAGTATCATCCATCCATCCTCATGAAGATGGACTCCACCACGAGTCCGAAAGCTCAGAAGACAAAACTTCCGGTCCTGATGACCAACCCAGATTGGATTCTACAATATACCTGCCTGCGTGAGCCAGGCCACTAAGCCAATTCTCATCGTTTCAATGGCCAGAAGCTGAATTGTGAATTTGAAGGGACCCCAAAACAGCGCCCTGAAAGGAGCATTTTTGGCTAACAAGGGACTTGTAGACCCCCATTCAAAGGCTGCACAGACAAGGGAGGGGGTCAGGGTTAAACAACCTACCAGGAGGACATGCCATGGGTCTACCTGGGCATCTACCCGTCTGCCCATACCTGACCTCATGCTGAAGGTGCAGGCGGCGAGGTTTTGCTCCCCGCACTCTTCTCACCTGATCGTAATTGTCGTGACCGTGGAAAAAGGGCTCCTTTCGGAAGATCATGCTGGCGAGCATGCACCCCAAACTCCACATGTCCAGGCTGTAGTCGTACATCTATGAGAAAGGGAAGGAAACTCATGAGCATGGCGCGCTCGCAGACTGACAAGGGAAAGACCCAACCAGCACGGGCGGTGTTCGCTTGGAAATGTTGGACTGCGTCACACAATAAAAAACCTCTGTGACTCTTATGCTTAGTCAGAAATATAATTCAATACAATGAATGTCCAGTGATGTTTTCTGTGATGACCTAGGGTGGGGATACAAAATAAGCCAAGTCCCAAAAACAGAGGAAGCCCCTTTTATTCCTTCACTTTGCTTCAAAACTCCAAATATCCTTGACTGGAGACAAAAAAACTCCCCCAAAAACAATTATGGAAAGGAGGAAATGCCATTTAAACTAAAAATGCCTATAAATTATGAAGAGTAAAAACAACACAAACCACACTGAAACAATTATGGGAGCCAGGCAAGATAAGGGCTTGAAGACGTCCACAGATATCGGAACACACACTGGGAAGGACGCCAAACTCAAGAGAGGAACGACAGACTAGAGATATTTCCACGCTTTGTTTCCAGCACTGGCCCATACGCATGTCCGTCCTTTTAACCAGTTCTCACAGCTGCAGCTCATGAAGGGGATCAAGGCCCTTTCCTCCCCCGTAGACCATGCTATTCTTGTCTCTCCCTTATTCTCTCCTCCCTGTGTGCCCTAGGATGGAGAGGGGATGGGCCTGGGTCCTCCTCTGACTGCCCAGCCGGCCTCTGCCCTTCCCCAGCCTCCTCCACAACCTTTGGAGCCACACTTCTACTCCCTGTCGGCTGCCACCCTCCTGTCCCTCGGAGTCAGTCTCCAACAGGGGCATGACATCTTCTTTCATTCTTTCTTTTCCTTCCTCTTTTCCTTCCTTTCTTTCTCCTTTCCTCTATCCATCCACCCATAATGTCTGTCTAATCTATCATCCATCTGTCTGTCTGAGTTAGTCTGCCTGCCTGCCTGCCTGCCTACCTATCTATCTGATTAATTTATCTATTTATCACATATCTGTATCTGTTATCATCTCTATCTGTATCTATCACCCAGTGAAACTTTTGTGCCTAAGGTGGAACTAGAACTCATTGTCTCCTAATGAGTCTGGCCAATGCCCAAAGTCACCCACTTCATGCCTAAGGCGGGACTAGAACTCACAACCTCCTGTTGATTGGCCCGTCAACCAGTCAGCTTTCATGCCTAAGGCGGGACTAGAATTCACAGCTTCCTGGTGACCAATCTAAAATTACCCCGCTGGTTTTCCTATCTAATGCGCGACTAGAACTCCCCCTCTCCTGGTTTCAAGCCTGGTGCTTTAACCGCTAGACCAAACTGGCTCTAAATATCGTTATTTATTCATTTCATGTTGCTTCCTTTTTTGTTTTTAGGTTCTACCGGGGCAGCCAATCCATCAATCCCTTTTTTCCAGGTTTGTGATCATTCCACATCAAGAGCACAAATCTCTCTCTATAAAAGCGAAATACCCCTCATGCATCATCACAAAATCTCCAGAACTCTAAAGCCTACAAACTTGAAATTTGGCACCTATGTTCCTCTTGGCTTCTAGGTGCTCACTAAGAGAGGATTTTTCAAAATGACCATCAGAGCATTAGCATTTCGTTTGTTGTTGTGGTTGTGCTGGTGGTTGTTATTATTATTGTTATTATTACGCTCTGATGCTAAGGAGTTCTACTCCCCCTCATGAAAATAAATCTGTTCCAAATGCAAAACACAAGCAGAGGAGAAGAGTTTCAAGGAGTTTTAGTTTCACAGAAGCAATCAGCTTTAGTACAGAACAGCTGAGCTAAGCCACGCCCAGGCTCCTTGCTGACACAGCAAATACTGTTTCGGTTTCCAAACAGCCCTCCACTGTCTCACACGCTGACAGGATGCTAGCCAGACGAATACCAATGGACGCTGGTAGGCAGAGGCAGAATTATTTCCCCCTTATTTTCCTCTCCAAAAGCTAAGCCTGACCACATAAGTTTCATAGCGAAGCATGGATGTCGAGCTACTACCTGATAATCTACAAGGAGTTCGGGGCCTTTGAAGTATCTGGAAGCCACTCGGACGTTATATTCCTGACCCGGATGGTAGAATTCAGCCAAACCCCAGTCTATTAGCCTCAGCTGAAAAATGAAGGAGAGAGATTAAAGATGGAAGGTGAAATATATGTATATATATTTTTTCCTGGGTTGGCAGCAACACTCGGGCAACTTTGCAACCCCGCTGCCAGAAGAGAATTTACAAAACCAGAAACAAAGGGGGGGGAGAGAAACTCTGTAGAAATCCAAAAGTAATTAATTATTTGAGACGGCTCAGAAATGAAACAGCCACGGTTCAAAAGTACCATTGAATTTTAGTCAGTCCTCGACTTACGGCTGCAATGGAGCCCAAACGTTTCTGTTTGGTGCTAAGCGAGGCAGTTGTTACATGAATTTTACCCCATTTTACGACCTTCCTTGCCACGGTTGTGAAGTGAATCTGGCTTCCCCGTTGAATCTGCGGATCAGAAGGTTGCAAAAGGGGATCCAGTGACCCCAGGAAGCTGCAACGGTCATAAACGATGCTGCAACCGTCGTAAATATGAACCATTTGCCAAGTCTTTTAAATTATGATCACGTGGGGAGGCTGCCAACGGCCGTGAAGTAGGAAAAACAGCCGTTAAGTCCCTTCGTTCAGTGCCGTTGTAACTCTGAACGGTCACTAATGGTCACTGTCTCCAAGGGATAGAAATCTTTCCCTTCCCCACCATCCAGTCAGAGCCGCAGAAGCTTCTTGGAAGAGAAGCGAAACTTCTTCAGAAGAAAAAAAAAAAAAGAAGAAGAAAGTCCAGTTGCCTCCTGGAAAAAAAAGCACCTTTAAGGACTGGGTGACTGAGAATCTCTAGAGACTTTTTAGTTATACAATTTGGGATGGATCCCCTTGGAATGGTGTGGGAGAAGGAATGGATTTCCAGAGGAAAAATCTGCAGACTACAGGAACCAGGAGTGCTACTCAGGTGATCCTGAGGACACAGATAAACCTCCAAGTGGCCTCTCAACGACCCTCTAAAAGGATGCAAATGACCAGCTGTCTGCAAGGAAGTATAAATCCTTCCTTTCCTGACCATCCTGTCAGAGCCGAAGGAAGCTTCTTGGATGAGAAGCGAAACGTCTTCGAAGAAAAAAAAACAAGAATATCCTGCTGCCTCATGAAAAAGCACCTTTGGAACAACCATCACCTGGATGATGGAGAATCTCTACAGAGTAATCAGCTTTTAGCAAGACATGACCCAGAATGCAAGGAGGGAAACGTAGCAGCTCCCCGAAGGACAGAGAGGGAAGGACCCCCTCAAGGCCCAGCGGTCCTTACCTTTCGATGCTCGTGGTCAATCATGACGTTGTGAGGTTTGACGTCTCTGTGCATGATGCC